GCAGCAGCAGCAACAACAACAACGACGAACTAGTATGCAGGTAGGCGCCACTTTCTTCTTTTGCCGTTCGTGATGATAGGCTTGTGCAATTATGCTGCTGTTGCCTTGTTGGCGGCTTGCCGTCTGATTCTTGCTGTTGAAGTGCGGGGACCTTTGTTGCGCTGGCTGTTGCTGCTGCATTCTGCTGCAGCTGCATTCTCAACAAGGTTATAACATCCCCGAATGTTGGAGATTGCAGAATTGCAGATCTGGCGGCGGCGGTTTTTGTAAAATGACAGTGAATACCACGGCTTAGGGCACTTTCAGCTGTGACCGTTCCCAACAGTATTCTGCGGCTGTGCAACCAGAACATGGACAAAAAAAAAAAACAAACACGCATGTCGGTCCCTGGCTCTGCATCACAAGTTCGTTCAATGGCAGAGGACATCTTCCGCATCGGGCGCCTTCGCCGCCTTCAGCGCCACTGCTCTCGCGGCTGCACGCGGCGAGTCGCTTGGTGGAGTTTTCGGTTCACCCCCGTGACTTTGTCCATTCCTGTGATCAGCGGGTAGCACTGTGCAGGCTCATCCGCTCATCCTACAATCATCGCATCTATCGCCTGTCCCTGCTTCCTTCCGCATGCTCAATGCATTTAGCCTTTCGTAAAGAGTCCGGGCTCAAAATGTTCAACTTTCGGCTCACAGCTAGGCAAACAGGGTGGGGGGGGGGGGGTCTGGCAATGAATGTTCGAAATAATGCACATTCATCTCTTGAAGAGTGTATGGCACTGCAGCAACGCATGGTGCGACAATTCGGGATTGTGCCGCCCAGGATCGACTCTCAAACCTTTTTCCTTGTCTCAGTAACAATTAGCGAGAAAGGGCGGCCTAGGCACACAAACGGGGTCGCCTAATTCTGCCGTGAATACAGCAAAATACAGGTCACAACACTCTGTACTGACAGCGGGGCGCATGAGTCCCGAATTGCAAACTAATTTGCCAGTTAGTGTCAGTGCAGATCAGAAACTTACGCGCATGAAAAGCAGGAGTCCAGGATGCTGCGACGATCTTCTAGAGTGTTTCATTTATAGCTAGTGCAATTCATGTCTTATATATGCACATATAAAGAACAGTCGGGATAATATCTGATAAACCGTGGTGCATCATGAGTCGTGCCTAATGCATTATACAATGCAGGTGGATGTCATTCAGGTTATGTCATAGCCGTTTACAAATGCACTATTAGTTCGAACTGTGAATCCAGCCGCTTTACTTGGTCTGTGTCCTACTTGTATGTGAAGATGCATGTGTATGTATGTATGTATGTATGTATGTATATAATATATATATATGTGTGTGTGTATACACACGTATAGCTGTACATATTGCCTGCATATGCTCCCCCCATGATCTACCAAATGTGGGTCCGGGAAAAGGGGCCCAGGAACTCAGCCATGACACCTCTCTCCCCTGATACCTTTTGGCTGAACGTCGGCCAAGTGTTCAGTACAGAAGCCGGTGTTTTCAGATGTGATCGGGTAGGGCTCCGAGCCGATCAAACGGCAAATAGAGTGCTTTGTTCATCGCTCAGTCGTTTCGGGAGCCTGCGCAATCACCGACCAAACGGTATTGGCTTTGGCTGGACACCGTAACTCTGAGAGCACATTCACGAGTTTGATTGATTCAAAGCCAAAAAATAGTGGGTCCTCACTGCGCACTTGATCTGCCCAACAGCGGGAAGTGAAGGACTGCAGCATGAACTGGTCGCAATGGCATTAAGGTTGTCCGTGCATGCTTTAAGAGTAATTTTACCCCTTTTCTTCAGGCAAGCGACAATCACGAAAATCACAGAGGGAAGGCTCTGCACCAGCCCACACGGGTCAAGAACGGATGAAACAGCAGAGCCGCTCCTTTCTGAATCTATTGAACCCCTAGGCCCTATAGGCCCTAGACCTGCCCAAAAAGACGGTGCCCCTCCAACTGCCGACGAGGCTCAGGCGCTCCCACAAATCTCGGGAAAAGCGCGCTGCTTTTCCTGGCTTTTTCTGTGGGCGACGGACAGGTCTGTCTGTGTGCCTGCGTGGATGTCTGCATGCGTGTGTTTTATTGAGTTTTGGTGCAGCTGGCAAAAGGGCTGGTGGGGCCTCCGGCCTCGAGGTCGTCTGCAGAAAGGTAACTTGTTTCCAAAGGTTGCCTCTGTTTGAAGAGGGCCTTTCTGGTGTCTTTGTGCCACGTTTATCTTCAAGTCGTCATGCAGCAGCCCCAGACATTTCAGCCCTGTGTGATGTGACAGTCCAGCACAGCGTTCGTCTCCAGCGATTGTACCGACCCCGACTTTGAAGCCAGTAGCAAAACTCAACCAACCGGATTACCATGTTCCTTGGAATGCTCATCAAGACGGAGCACCCGCAATCTCGGACCATCCACTATCAGCACATTCATCCTCATTCTGGCTGTCGCGGTCGTCGACGATACCATCCCCCGATTCCACGTGACGCACCGGAGTACAACGTTGCTCTTGATGGTGATGACGATAACGATGGTGATGATTATCATGGTGATGCTGATGATGGCGATGACAAAGCCTGTCCTGCGAATAGCCCCGGGGTGATAGCGATCGTGATGATACCAGGTCGCGATGCCTTTAAATTTGACAATGATGGTGCTGATGTGACGGACACATGGACGAACGTAGTGGTGCTGGTGCTGTTGCCGGTAGTGGCCTTCTTCCCTGACTCCCTGATACAGTGCAAGTCCAGCGGCCGGGGTCGCTAAATGCTCCATCTAAGTCGACGGTCTGATCGTCCCGAACCTGCAGTGCACTGCTTTGCGTCATGCTGCACAAGCACTGGCTTCGACAGCATCCGGCTCTCCTGGAATAACAATCACCGACTCCCTCTTGCAAACATCGATGACAACCTCATATACTTGCCTCTGGAATCCCAAAGCTGCCATAGCTCTGCAGTAGTCCTCCGCACTCCTTATAATAGTTTCAATCCTTACCTGCTTTAGGGCTGATATGGGCTCATGGTGCCGCATCCTGAAAGCTGTACCTATACCTTGCACCTCCCCATAAAGAACACCCAATTGTCTCCGGGCCACATACCAGAAGAGCCGCCTGGAAATGTCGAGACTTAGCCAAATAATATTTGCGGTATGGGCATAGCGGCATAGCAGTTGCCGCAGGCTTGCACTGAGTCGAGTCTGCTTGGGCTGGCTTGCTTCGACTCTGCCTACATGTCTCACAGGTGTGCTCGCAATACACCGCTTTTGTGGAACAGTTGTGTTGGCTTTCTACGCCAAGGAGTTCTTGTCAAGAGGAGACCTCACGTTCTCACTCCGGATGGTGCAGGACCTGGGACCCATACACACCTCCAGCAGAGCCATGCAGGGACCGCTGGGCCTGGGATCCGGTAGCCGGCCTGACTTGGCATCGCCACTGGAGCTGGCGCCCTTCCGCAGCAGGGCAACTCCGATGCAAAAACAAACTGTGACGCGATAAAACCTCACATATGCTAGGTGTGGAGGGCTCGTAGAACGGAGTTGGAAGACTGCATGCTCTGCAGTCCAGTGCTTGCAGCCCTGAGGTTCTGTGGGATTCTGGCTGAACCCTGAGCCTCATTTTTTTTGCCTACGGCAGGTCGGACGCATAAGCGGGTAGGATTGCGAGCGCTTTATCGAATAAGATTTTATTGACACAGTCGTCGAACAGCTGCCTAAAAGGCCCATTCAGGGTCTGCCTTGGACTGCCAATCTGTTTTCGCCATCTTCAGGATGTACTCCTCAAGCTGATCACCTGAGTCACGGGCAGAAGGTTCGAGCGCGAACAGCCGAGGGCAAAAACCCTGGCCTCGAATCCCGGGCACACACCGGGTCACCAACTGTATACTAGCCAGTCAGTCCCCAACAAGGACGGGTCGGGCCTTCCCAGTCGCACAAGAGGTATGGAAGGTACAGCATGTCACGAGGATTCGGCGTACAATTGACGCGGACATGACGATCAACATATCAATGCGTGATCACCTATATCCGTCCATTCCTACGTGTTGATCGCACAAGCCGAGTAAACAATGTCTTGTTTGATGCGCATGTGCACCTGTTATCACACATTTTTTGGCTCATGCTGTTTTTGTTCCACCCATCCTCGTGCGGCATGGGGGATGATGCTTCGGGTCCTTCGCACGTGGAAGGCTAGTTCATACATGTGTAGGTGTGTGTATATGTATGTATGTATGTATGTATGTATGTATGTCACTAGTTAACTTTGTTTGGACCAGGGAAGAAACATCTGATTCAAGTGGCTCAGGGCTCCACGCTGGATGAGGGCTCTGGGCTATTGGGTGTCCATGTATGTATGTATGTATGTATGTATGTATACATACATACATACATACATACATACTTACATACTTACATACATACACATATACACGTGGAAATGTAGGGACACGGAGACTAAACGAGGAGGGAAGGGCTCATTTTACAACCCTAATCGTTTGTAGCTAAACCTGGATATACGCGCAAACTGCTTCTGTGTGTTATGTACATCTTACACAAACCATCTTCCAACTTTACGAGAGCCCAAATGGGACGCCGCCAACAGGGAAACCAAAAGAGACCCGAAGCGGCCCATGGCCCAAGAGAGAGACCTAGAAGGGAACCCAACAGGGCCTCAAGCGCAAACCCAAAGGCAATCCAAACAAGTCCGGAATGAATCCAGAAAGAGCACTGGAAGGCAAAAGTTGGAAGAACACAAGGTTGGAAGATGGCTTTTTCACTTGCTCGGAATTAATAACTTGGATCATCTTCCACGTTTCGGCTGTCACCATGTCTATCGATGGTCGTGTTGATCTGTCGCCGATACCGATCTATCGATCGATCAACTTATCTACAGTATCTGAACGTGGCAACGACTTCCATTTCTGTGCCCTACACCATGGAGTGCAATTCAAGAAAGAATCTCCAACAGGTCATCTTGCTGTAATGGGAGATCCGCGTAGGCTAAACTGTGAGCCAAGGTGCAAATCTTAGACAGCTGCGCTAAGTTCTTGGCCCGCTCCAACCTGCAAGGCAGGTTGCTCCAGTCGTTTGTGGGCTTTCGTAAGGTCTGGGACCGGCACCCAGAAAACGACCTTCTTTCGAATCGTTGCCCAAAGCCAAAGGCTCCATTGCCAAGACCCGTGACATATCGTGACACGCAAAGTTTGCAAATACATAGCCCGCTGCAGAGAAAACATAAGCTACTAGTATTGCCTGGCTCCTCTGCCACATGCAAGACTTATCCCCGTTCGTGTTCAACCAGAATCCACATGCTGCTGGTTAGCGGGCTCAGCACGTCGGTTTCAATCTCGTCCTGCTCAAGCTTGCAGGCGAAATTGTGCAACTTGTTGCAGAGGTTCCTGATTGGCGAGATCTGGGATGATCAAACATCTGGTTGTCAGGCTCGAGCGCGTTCCATGTTTAATCGTGGGATAGTACACAACTCACGAACCAGCACGTGTGTCACTTGTCTTTGGGGGTCGGCTGCAAGACTCTGTGATGAGCCACAGGCCTGCCCAAACTAAACTTAACGATCTACCTCCAGTGCAGATCCAAGCATCTGATAATCGATGAGGGCCAACTGTTGGGCCCCCGAAAGGCTGACGGCAAATTCCCCTGAAGCCATGGCATCTCTCATCTCTTTCCTGAATCCGCAATTGCATCTCGAATGCGCAGTGGGTGTGGTTTGCACGGCTGGCAGGGCTGGGAGACGGGAGATTAGACTTACCCCAAACAATTCAATCCGACACATTGCCAAAAGCTGCCGGTACGAGCTGCAATCACTGTGAAACTACGTTTCAGTTTGAGCGTGTCCCGCCCACTGCACCCCTGCAGCAAGTTTGCGATCTCAGGCTAAGGTCACGCAACAAGTCGAACTTGCTCTGCTGTCCGAAGGGCACAAAAACCACGTCCTTCAGCCTGCGTGACAAAGGGCAGGCTATGTCAGGACTCCCTCTGATCTGCTCCGCAACGACATCCGGATCCTCTCCAAGAGGGATGGGGCAGGGTGTCTAGGTGATCTTTTCCCGTCGAGCATCTGAGCCCAGATCAGAAAAGTCAACAGGCAGAATAGGCCGAGAGAACCACACTCGCCCTGTAAATCCCTCTGGCCATCTCACACTTCAGCTTCTTCGCTGCCGTATGCTGGCGTATCAGTGCCAACCCTCAATGCTGAGCCCAAGCCGGTCCTCACCATCTGCAGCAACAGTTCCACGCAGAGGCGCAAAAACCTGTGTTAGAAGGCTTAGGGCTCAGTGCACAAAACGCTTGCACAAATGCAAACATGTAGATGGGGGTGCAGGGGGCATTGAGGCCTCCTGATTTCAGGTTCATCACAATGGCTCTCGTGAGACCGCAGGCTCGACCCAAGCCCGAACAGATGCGGAGCTGTCAGGAAGCATCAAGCCCGGAAGGTATATGTGTATCCCATATATATATTTTTGAATATGTACGTATATACTATACTGCCGCAAGCATAACAGATCGACAAGTTTGCGTGATTTTGCTGACGCCGAACGAGGTCTGGGAGTCTGGGACGGTTGCAATGCTACAATGGCCAGGCGATGCCACAGCCCTGCTATGCCCGCAGGTCGAGGGTCCAGTTCCAGATACGATGAGCCAATATTCTCAGGGTGCCCCCAACAAAAAGCATTCTTTGCAACGTGGGCCAAGGTTTGCCACGGTGCCGGTGTGGCACGCTGTGCCCGTCGTAGAGGCTGGCGGCGCCGGCCGCGACGGAGCCAGGCCTGAAGCACTCGGAGTATGTGGATTCAAATCATGCGAGAACATGCTGGGCGGGCTTTCGGGTTGGGGGAGGAGGGCTGGCGAATCAACTCTCAAGATCATGTTCTCGGCTTGCGGCCCTCGGCCTGTGTATATCTGAGAGTATAATGAGTCGCGTGTTGAAAGACACAGTACCCAAATGCTGAGGGAAGAATGATTGCTTGGCACATCGCTTTTTTTATATTTCGCCAAGAATTTGCAATAACATATAGGAAGAAATCATGCAGCTGCAAAAGTCAATCTCCAAAGACACATGATCAATTCATCCCCATCATTCCCGACACGATGTCATTAGCGACGACGAAATGACGCTGATAAAGAAGATGCTAGACTAGGGGCCTATACTGTCGGGACTAGACAGGACTTCTCATGGAGTCAGAGTTCAGAACCCTGCCCCCGGGGATGACCACCCCATGCCAAAACTTTCATGTGTAATAACGGCTTCACAAGATGCAACCTACCACAGGCCCATTCACTTTTGCCGACAGATTGTGCAAGCACCAACGACTTATAAGCCGAGCTGCTAAGGTTGAGATGGCTGCTGGCCGCACAAAGCCATAGCCTGGAGTGTTTGAAAGCGCGCTTCGCAGAGTCCTGGCGGAATGGACCACGGCGATCACACAACAGGAGGAACGTACAACGCAGGTTGCATCCTATTGGGGTATTTCAGCAGAGCTCCGTGCGACATGCGATGAATTCAGGCTGTTGCACACACGGTGAAACATTACAACATTCCGAGACATGGAACCATACCATACCGCGCAAGCGGCATATCCTCTGCTGTGGTGGCACCTCACGACCCCGCTGCCGCCAAATGGGACCTGTAGATTTGAGAGACCCTGTCAGTAGAGCTGGGGAGGGAGTCAAAGTTAGAGCGGAATGCGTGAGTGGAGCCTTTCCCGTTTTGCATTAACTTCCACTGGCTTGTTTACTAATGTTATCTTGCATCAGTGTTCATGGGAATCTAAATTATGACCGTATTGTTCTGCGTACTAAATACCATAAACCGGTTCTCAAGGAACTCAGCGTTGAGCAGTCACTCTCGCATATGATTAGGCACTGCAACAAGCAGTCACGGCTTATCATACCTCAGTTTGTATCTATGATTAATTATATGCTTGTCTCTCTCACTGAATACAATACGGACATACTTTGCTTTTCTCACTGTGTCTGTTTTTTCAACTGTCATTCTACTGTGACACCTTGTGTGTTGTGTATGTACATATACATATACATATACATATACATATACATATACATATACGTATGCACATGCATATACAAATACATATACATACATACATACATACATACATACATATATATATATATATGCTACCCCCCCCCCTCATTGACCTACCTTTGTTGGGGGTCTAAGGAGCACCCAATAGCAATGAGTCATGATTAAAACAGAACAGAGACTTATGAGACTTGAACTGAAAAACTGCGCTGAGAGATATGGGGGTACGGCAAGGAGGGTAGGGTAGATAGGACAGTTTCAGAATGTTCGGGTAGCATCTCGTCCCTGAGTAGCTACCAATCTTTCGTTTGTAGTTTTGTATAATAAGGAAATGAAGATAGAAAACGAGAAGGCGCAGGCGCGCATCTCGTCCCTCTGTGTGTGTAACATATGCCATAGGCACACGTCCCCCAGTAATTACCAGCCTTTCATTTATAGTTTTGTATAAGAAGGACATGAAGATGGAAAGCGAGGGGGCGCAGGTACGCATCTCGTCCTTGAGTAACTACCAGTCTTTCGTTCCTAGAGATGGAAAAAGGACATGAAATTAGAAAACGAGAAGGCACAGGTGCGCATTTCGTCCCTGCTATGCTACAGAATAACAGAGGCACACTTCGCGTGACGCGTTTTCGCGTGAGTCGCAGAATGACGTGTAGAGTAGAGCCTCTCACGGTCTTAGGAGAATAGCATCAAAGTCAAACAGATTGAGGCCTTTCAGCACTTTGGGACTCTGGGAGCTCCAAAACCTTGATAATTAGGCCCCAATCTTTTTGAGTTTCAAGACTCAAAAAAATAGAGGCCTCTCAACACTTTGGGACGCTGGGAGCTCCAAAACCTTGAGAGGCCTCCATCTTTTTGGGATTTAAATACAAAAACGCTGGGAGGCTCCAAAAGACTCAAATGATTCAATGTTTTGAAGGTCTTGGGAGAATAGCTTTAAAATCAAACAGATTGAGGCCTCTAAGCATTTTGAGAGTCTGGGGGCTTCCGAACCTTGAGAGGCCCCAATCTTTGCGAGGTTCAAAACTCAAAAAGATTGAGGCCTCTCAGCACTTTGGGACTCTGGGAGCTCCACAACCGTGAGAGGCCCCAATGTTGTTGAGTTTCAAAACTCAAAAAATAGAGGCTTCTCAACACTTTGCGACGCTGGGAGCTCCAAAACCTTTTGGGATTTAAATGCACAAACGCTGGGAGGCCCCAAAAGACTCAAATGACTCAATGTTTTGGAGATAGCACCAAAATCAAATAGATTGAGCTCAGCATTTTGAGACTCTGGGGGCTTCCAAATTCGAGAGGCCCCAATCTTTGCGAGGTTCAAGACTCAAAAAGATTGAGGCTTCTCAGCACTGTGGGACTCTGGGAGCTCCAAAACCGTGAGAGGCCCCAATCTTTTTGAGTTTCAAGACTCAAAAAAATAGAGGCCTCTCAACACTTTGGGACGCTGGGAGCTCCAAAACCTTTTGGGATTTCAATGCAGAAACGCCGGAAGGCCCCAAAAGACTCAAATGATTCAATGTTTTGGAGGTCTTGGGAGAATAGCCCCAAAATCAAACAGATTGAGGCCTCTCAGCATTTTGAACTCTGGGGGCTTCCAAACCTCGAGAGGCCCCAATTTTTTCGAGGTTCAAAACTCAAAAAGATTGAGGCCTCCCAGCACTTTGGGACTCTGGGAACTGCAAAACATGGA